GAAATCGCATGACAGAGAGAAATAAATTATCTAACGCAGTTTGAGGTAGGAGGAAGATATTAGACAAAAGTAAATTTCAAACTAGTATGACAGCGTGTTTCCAACTTCTGCTGAGGAAATGGGTAGCCTCTGAGGGAAGCCCCAAAGCCATCTCATTATTTGTGGGTTCTGTGAAACTCTTTTACCCATCCCCAGAAATATTACTGAGCTTTAAAGAACTTATTAACAAAATTTTCATCTAAAAAATAAAACTATGAAAAGCTTCCACTTTCAACTGAGGATGATCTAATAACTTTGGTTTGGTTTGGGTTTTTTCCCACAGCAAGCTGTATTGCAACAAATCATTCTCATTATTGGGTTTTCTTAGGTCACTAGTTACAGACTAAAAAGAATACATATCTAGATGTTTGTACAGAGTTTTTCATAGCTTAGGTTACCTAAGTCATGGTAAAATAGTTTATAGGGTTAAAATCAGACTAGACAAAGCACTGAGACAACCAGGCAACAATTCCACACCATCCAAGTAGGACAGTGGCATTTAGCAGGTATTTTTACCTTCATCCATCTTCATTTATCTCCTTATCTCCCATTTTTGTAATTGCCCATCCCATCCTGCACAGTAGCACACACAGGCTCACCCACTCACTCCCATTTCTTCTCTTGCCAAGAAGAGCATCCTGTGTGGGATTCAATCATTTGTTGTCCACAGAACTTCTGGTGTGTGTCTCTCTAAATAGCTGACATCTGGAGGAGCTAGATACTACTTATACCCTACTTAGCACAATCAGATGCTGCTAAGGAACATGACAAAACGCCTCATTTTTAAAATATCTTCTCTCTACCCCCTCTTCTTCTTTCCAACAAGTTTTTTTTCTGAGAGGCATTCACAGTCCACTACACATAGTGACCAGCTTTCAAAGCCATTGTTCTCGGGTACACAAAGAAATCAATATAAAAGTATACACTGCTAACAATCAATTATTTCTGCACTCACTTCTATAACATACTGTTTTTATGAAAAATATATCACTCTAGAACCCTGCTGCAAAGCTAGGAACACAACTCGAGGCATTTGAGTTCTTTAATTACTAATCCCCTGCTTTCCTCTTCATTATTCAATAGACACCTTAACTTTTATTTCAATTAAAAGAGGGGTTTCCCAAACTACAGAATTTTCTAATTATACAAATGTGTTTCACTCGATGATTGTTTCTGTCTCACTAACAAATAGGGAGTCTACAATAACATGATCCTGATCCTGTAATTAAAAGACTGAAAGGAATGCAGAAAGGGGAAGATGTTACATGGTTTTCCAGCACACCTCAATTTTGAATAATTGATTTTGCAACAAAACCCACAAATCACTCAGAGCAGGTTTGTTGTTGGCTTTTTTAACATTCTCTCTCAGACACATGCCAGTCTATTCATGTTCACCTGTAATCTTTACTTCAATGGAGTATGCCTTAATTCAAAAAATACCTCTAGGACATACATGCCTCAGGTCACCCAGACAAAAGAAATACAAACAGCCAGCAAAGTGACAGGTAGCACAGATGCATCTAAACTGATTAAATTGCTGTTGCTAGAACACACACACTGCAATCTCCTTCCCTTTTGGTTTATTCAAGGTACCCTGTCATTCTTCTCCAATCCTTTCCAAAATGCTCGTTAGCAGGTTGAGAGAATTAAGTTAAGTTGACTCACTGATATTAATAGGTCTCTCTAATTCAATAGCAGCATGTTCAGAGAATGCCACCTGCCTTCTCTTTAAGCAAAAGTTACTGAAACACGGCCAACACTTTGCCCAACTGTTTCAAAAGCTAAAATTAGACACACCTGTTTCAACAGTTGTTTCAGCAGCTGGACACTGGGATATGGATCAATAAGATTTACTCACAGTTTTCTCCCCTCAGAGCCAATAGTGTGATTTTAGTCTCTCATCCTGTGTTTAGAGAAACGTGTATTGCCAGGGATACTGTGAATGAATCTAAAGAGGTCAGTGTTTCTCTTCCACATTGCTGGACCTTGCTACAATCCAAGAAAAATTGCTATTCAGTGGACTATGGGATCAAGATATACTGGTCTTGACCTAGTATTATACAAGGATAAGATCCTGAACCACATATAAACCAATGCAGTTATAAAACTGCAGGTATCGTAAAACTGAAGGCTTGTGAGGTTTGTACCCTTCCATTTCCTGCAATGAGTTGGCAATGCTCATAGCTAAGCCAGCAAGTGAATCCTACCAACTTTTCCATTACTGATCTTGAAGTAATCCAGGTAACATCCAGGTAACATTCATAACTCACTTCCCCAGCATCTAAAGCACAACTGTCCCACCGGTTGTCTTCACATTCAGTGTGCACCTCCACTGCAGAAACCTATGTCATGTTGGAAAAAACCTCCACTGAAATGTTATAAAAGAACTGATTGTAATGTAAAAGATGATAAAATAAATTAAATCTTATTGAAATTACACTTCATGCACTAGTTGGAGCTGTTTCCAAGCTTCTATATCTGACCAAGTTGCTTGAGATTCCAAATACCTTGTCCTAAAAGATGCAATTCCCTAAAACTGCTCTATTTCACCATCTAGTTCTTTTTGCCTTTTTCCCCGAGGCAAAATCAATTTATAGAGTGATACCCAGAGCCACTTAACCCAGTGGCAAGCCCTCTGGTGTGAATGTGAGACCACCTGGCAAACAGGATCAGTGAGATAATCCATGTTATGAAAGTGTGAAAAACCAGGAATTCCGTTAATTTGTTACTAGTAAGAAAAAGACACAAAAAAATTCTCAAGACAATTCTCAAAGTTCCAGCTGGCCCTGTAGTCTTGGAGTTCCCATATAATCAGAAGCCATACATTTGTAGACATGCGTGCACTCAAGTATATAAAAGTCAACATCTCCCAGAGCATATGCTCATCTCTACTCCCCTGGAATGGGCATCTGAGTGTTTCAAAGAAAAGACACACACACACTCATGCATATGAACCCAGTAGTATGCACATTTGTGGAGGTCATTTATAATATACAAAAGTGTATGCAAGCATACAACCATGGCCACACTGCTCTACAGCCAAGGGAGTGGATGCCTCAGAGCATACGGCACATCATCAGGTTCCCATCCAAACAAAGTGCAAATTTTCTCTTCTAAAGAGAAAGGGGCAGGGAATGGAGGGAGACTACTCAGCTGTCTAACCAGTAATAAATGCTTGTCAAGTGAGCTTTTGATAGGATATAAGGTGCTTGAAGAAGTGGGGCCACCACGATCAAACTGCACAAGTTGAACTCAAGAGCAGGGAAAACAGAAGAGACAGTGACATGAAGACTTTTCCCCTCTTTCTGGGAAATAATGAACAAATCCTTCAGAGTGATTACTCTGTTACACCTGCTGGCCTTGCTCTCAAGTCTGTATGAGACAAAAGATGCTCCTATCTTCCCTCAGATTAAATGTGCCTTGTAAAAGGCAATCAGAGATTGGCACGATAATTATCTTTCCTCATTAGAAAGCAAGCCCTGGATGTGACTGAATATGACTCCTCTGTCAAGGCTCTTTGTGGCCTGTAATAGTACTCAGCCAGCATCAACGGCACAACACTTTATGTGAACAAAACAAAGCAACATATCAAGTAATCTTGTCTTTTTAGTTGCTTTCTCTTTTCTAACCCTGATGAGTGAGGTGGGAAGGTGCCAAATTCCTTTTTAACTTGTATAAATGCGTCTAAATGTCACAGAAGACCCTTGTTAAGTGAAAAGCTTTCCAAATGTTTTTCTCTCCCATATCTAAAATAGATTGCTCTTTTTCTTTTTCTGGTTTGGTGTCAGGGTTTTTGGGTTTGTTTTTTGGTTTTGGTTTTGTTTATATTTTTTGAAAAAGGCAGACCACTGCCTTTCACCATTTCCAGGGTCAGCCAAATGTAAGGACCCACAGCAGAGCTCCTAGTGTTCTCCTGGAGCATCACACACCATAGTGCATGGTACAGCTTTGCCCATGGAAGCCAGGAAGAAGGGTAAATACTTGGGTAAATGCAAGGATGAAAACTCTTCTAACTAGGGCATTAGCAGACCTAAGGGGCCTTCTGTGACAGAACATAAATGCTCCCTCACTTTTTTTTTTTAAATGTATTTGAAGCATATTCATTGCTTTTCTATTAGCATGAACCTAAAGACTGACTATTCCTCAAGAGCTCTGACCCCAGCAATGCAGCACCACCATGGAAAAGGCAGTGCCGAGGCAAAACATTAGACCTGCCACAAACAGGGCCACTACAACAACTTCATTTAAAAGGGGTGAGTGGTAACAGCTCAAGCTTCCACGCTGGTGCTCACGTAGATATGACTCTGGTAGAAACGGCATGCTGAGAAAGATGGGTTATATGGTCAGTCATTATGGGACCTGTGTGGTAACAGATGAGGGCAGACAGCACTGGCTAGTCTACAAAGTGGAGAATTAGGAAGAACTGCATATTCCAACTGTGCTTAGTGGCCTTAGCTACTTCCCTTTTAGCACAACCAACCATGGTCATTTCATCATCCCAAAGGTCACTCCTATCTCCTCAGTCTGGCTCATTCCTTGGTGTTCTCACTTAAAAAGCCTGGACTATAGATTGCATTTCTGGTCTTACCAGAAAGATGTCAGGAGAAGCTTCCCATTTTGTTCTGCAGCCAAGTATAGGGCTCAAAGAAATTATCACATCATGTAGCCTGTTCAACAAAACATGCTGCAAGATGATGTTACTATGCACCAGTAGGAGCAGAACTGAATTAATGCATTACATTGTCCTGCACCACTGTCAAGTGAGATGCGTGGTCCCAAAATGCAGTGGCATTTAATCAAAAAAACTAACTCTTCAAGTCATTGTATAATCTACAAGAACACAGGAAATGCATATAACCTACAGGACTTCTATAACTCAACCCATAAGAGCAGAGTCAGCTATCGAATTTAAGAGACCTGACATCACAGGAGGGGAACCTTGAACACGCTGCAAAGGAACCTTCGGCAAGCTACCTGTGCATGTGATTCCACTGCAACCTGACCCATTCTCAGCCTCCTTCCAACACTCACCTCAAGAGAGACCTTCTATACTGGAAAAATGAAGTCTCACAAAAGTAATTCTCCTTTTTCACCATCTGCCACAGTCTTGCCTTTTCCCAAGCAGAAATGTGGGTCTTTCCATTCCAGGAAGAATCCAGAAGCTCAGACTAGTAAAACTACCATCCTCTGAAGTCTAAATCTCAGAGCTGGCCCCTCACATGCAACAAGAGTGATTTTTTATTTTTTTTTTTTTAATATAGTAGTGTTTCTTTTAATTGCCTTTTTCTTTTGGATTTGGGTAAGGAGAGAGGAAAAGTGGGGGGTGCAGGGCTGCTTTAATCTCTAGTAGATAGAAAATTTCTTTTCAGAAAAATTAAATGAGCAGATACAATGACACCATGTGCCTGCAGGAGATCAGATTTTTAGACACACATCAACCACAAGTGGCCTCAAATTAAATTATGCACTAGCAATAAAAAAGCATTTCACATTTAAAAACCAACCAGAATTCTTGATCAGTGAACATTTAAAAATCTCTTGTTCTGCAGAAACAAACCCAGGTGTTTGCTAGGCAGATGTAACAGAACGTTACTTCAATGGAGCAGTTTTTAACTGTGATCATTTAAATATGCATTTATTTGCCTTTGGAGTGAGAAAATGAAAAGCTAAAGTAGAGTTGTTTTTTGGCCCCACTGCTAGTTATTAGCCTTCTCATCTAGGTAAAACCTGGGTAGGCAACAGTGCTTTCCCTTGCATTGCCTTAGTTTTCCTAAAGTTAATCATCTTCCTGGGAATCTGACTTACTTCCTTGGTCTCCCCTCTCCTGCCTCTTTCCCTTTTTTTTTTTTTTCCTTGTCTCCCTGTTTTATGAGCTGCAATGGGACAAGGAACAAGAGTAGTACATGCATAACCCCATTGCTTTACCTTGCTGCTTGCAGCATTTCTCAATTTTAGGAAATAGTTCCTTTCACTCTTGCTGCTGGCACCTTATTTGCATAAGGACAAACTATGAAACTATGTCACCTCTCCTCTTCTGCAATACCACAGTCTGCTGATGAGCCTGAATAGTTTTAAACAGGGTTATGCTTTCTCTTGTGCCCTCCTGCAAGCTTGGTGCTCTGCCAGGCAGCTGCAGAATGGATGCACTGAATGCGGAATATTCCCTGTGTGGCAGTCCAACAGGAGCTCCGAGGGGGAGGCACATCCAAGCTCCACAGCTAAAGCCTGGCAAAAAGAATGAGCTTCCCTGCTGCCTTGAAAATGATGGATGTACACAGAGGCTTTACAGAACTTACAGCCCTATGATCCCCCATGCTGTGCCCCGGAGCCCTGCACACAAGGTAAATTGCCACACAAAGAAACACACTCAATAGCACTGACCTGAACATTACCGAGACCAAGCAGTAACGTAAAAGGTAATGTAACTCCACTGCAAAGGATCAGCCTTCACTTATGGGGTGTGTTTCTATGTAGATATTCATATATTCATATGTTGGCTTAATGGCTGGCACGTTCAAGGGGATGGCTGGAGATAACCTGGTTTGTTCTTTTCGGACAGGATTAAAAGTTTTTACATTGGTTCAGTGCTTCTTGAGAAAAGTAACTGTTTCTCCCACAGAACTCAAAAGACAGGACGTTCCAGTCTAGCCAAAAATGGTGACAACAGGCCTTCTTTTGGTATTTCTGCTTCTGCTCTAAAAGGAGCTCTATAAAATTACATGTATTTTCTTACCTTCTAGGAATTAACCAGATCAAATATTTTTGACCTTTTGATGAGTGGAAAATGTTGGGATTTTTTTCTGTCAATCCTTAGACCTGAGAAAAAAGTTGAGGTCATATCCAGCAGGTAAGACTAAATTACAAAAAAACCCTCTGTAGTCTAACCTCAGCAGTTCCCTTGCAAAACGAGCTATAGCAGCCCCCGGCCAGTATGAACCCAGCAGCCCACATACAATTCACCTCCACTATGTCCTCAAGCAAAGGGTATTTACACTAAGTCACACACAGTAAGCCTACTAGCAATGAGAAGGCCTACTGCTAGCAAAGGTTAGGGATCAGCACAATTTTTTTGTGTCAGTTGTGCCAGATATTCAGGTAAAATTATACTTTTCTTGGGGAAACTGCCTGATTATGCGATGTCAGTGATATCTCATTTTCTGTATGCTTGCTTATTCGGCCTATTAACAAATACCATTGCAGACACAAACACTGGCATAAATAAATATTTGGTTATATTCCGCTCGCTCAGTTTTCAGAAGTTTTGTAAATCCCTCATCAGTTAGAGAAAAATTAGGGTTTGCTTTGTTAATAATTTATGCCAGATTCATGCAGAATACCCAGCTGTGTAGCAGAAGAGACTTCATTCTCGTGCTCCAAAGCTGCTGCCTTCTAGACTGCAGAAGACCCATTCTCCCTAAAGCAAGAGGTGAACAAAATCCTCAGCATGCTCTGATCAGCTCTGGGCCTATTCAGTACAGCAGCAGAACACTCAGTTTTATTCTACAGTGAATGCATAACGCTGAAAACATACAAAAATCCTGTTCCAAAATCCACAACTACACAAATATCGTGCACGACAAAGGAATATTTTGTATTTGGGCAACGTATAGTATCAAACTATTCCAAAGAAATTTACTGCCAGAGAGTACATAGAAAAGAAGCATTCATTACCTCCAACTTCACAGACCAAGGCAGTGACAAAACAGACCTTCGACAGGGGTGGGAGTCATGTCTGCCCCAGCCACTTGATCAGATTCTCTCCCATCATACCAACGAAAACCATTTTAATTTTTAATATTGTTGATTTCTAGACATAAATTCCTGCACAAATAGGGCATAAAAGCAGTCCCTGAGTTTCATGTGTGTATGTTTCTACACGTCCTCTAATTACACGATCCCACACTACTCTTTTTTGATGTGAACTTTCATGCACTCAGTGTACAGAAAGAATAATACCATTGAAGATGCTGTAACTTGATCCTGTGCTTTATCTTCATTGCTTCATTGGTGGCCACTTCTACATTCTATACTAATCCTGCTCTGAAGAGTAATTTATTTCCACAGGGGCATTTCTGTGGTGCCACTCAGCATAGCACTGAACTGTTTTGCAAAAACTAATTATTTTGGACAACACCTTTCTCAGGTGATAGGCTCATTTTACAAATGTTGAGTTCAGGAATAGGAAAATTAAGTCAAAATGTCCACTAGTACTGAATGTACAAATTCAGATTGCAAGTTCTGATTACACAGAGCGCTTAGCACCTTATGGCACCTTACACTTTTGAAGTGCTGACTTAATTCCTGTTTTCAGGGCTCAATATTGTTTCCATCCAAGCTATAGGATCTGAAGTTAGGAACTGGAACACAAGGAACCCATAATTCAGAGGTGACCTGAGGGAAAAATGATCTTAGTAACTTAGTAACCACCATAGTGTGACCCTGGGGAAGAAAGAGGGGTAGGAAGAAAATGCTTTGCTAAAGAGGTGTCCCTCCCTTGTAAGAATCCCTCACCTCATTCACTACACAACCCACTTCAAAAATATTGAAGTGGGCATCCTGTGTACAAGGCCATCAATTTGAGAACAGACCTCAGACTTATTCCAGAAGCTCTTTTCTTTTTTGTGTGCACGGCATGGGGAGAAAGTCATACAGAAGAAATAATGAGTAAAGATGTTACAAAAAATCACATCATAAAGACCAAACAAGCACAAGATTCACTGACACTAATTTTTAACTGCTTGATTTTGGACTGTCCCCAGTTCTTTCAGATTTGTTATATAGGGAACAGCTATTTGTTTATATAAATATTGTGGTTATGCAGACATTTTTATAAATATAAATATTTGTGTTGTTTATATAAATATTTAGATAGATAGATAGATTTGTAAATACAGCCACACAAACATATAATAAACACATGAAACCACATAGCCTTCTCTGAAACTTAGACTTTCAGTGAGTCCTTTTTGATTTAAAGAGATGCTACCATATCCACTGGCATTTCTGTTTTACATTTTTTATTGAACAAATCTAGAAGAGAAAACTAGATTTCCTTCAAATTCCCCTACCTGCATGATGCAAGGAAATGAAAATGCCTGTCAGCAAAAGTAATGTGTTTAATACCATGCCAGCCCTAAACATCAGTAGAGATTTCTGTGTATTGCAGATAATTCTATCACCAAGCCATATTGCTCTGTGATGTGCTTTTATCTTTGCTGTAGGATAATATCAGTATTTCAAGCATGAGCAAAAGAATGTTTTATGAGATTGATGTGGGAAAATACAGTGACAAGTACATAAAAAAGGGCAGAGAAAAATGCCAGGTAGTCATCATAAATGCCTTCAATTCCCACCAGAATTTGTCTAGTTTATTCAATTTTAATCAACAAGTAGAGGTCTACTGGGGCCTCAGTGACTTTGATTACATTTTCAGTGCCGAAAAAGAACAGCAAGCGAAAGAAAAAAAGAGAGAACAGATAATGGGACGAGGAGACTGCCAGCTACATCCTAGAAGTCTAGACTTTTACAGGCCAAAATCCTATTTTGTTAAACTTTTAAATTAAAAAAAAAAAAGTGATTTTTAAAAAAAGGAAAAATAATGGAAAAAAAAAAAAAAAAAAAAA